AATCTTGAGAAATCCTAAAGACCAAAGACCTCCACTCAGTTCCGCAGGAGTACACAAAATACTTTACTCTTACGAGAAAGTATACATCGATGAAACCGGAAGAATGGTCAACGTATGCATAAAGGAATATCAATGGGCTGAAACATGCAACTCAATCAGCATTGGCAGAACATAGCATTAAGGACATCAAATATTATTCGACAAAACGGTATAGTTATAACGACGTCATATTTCCTAAGGAAGTACAGAGGCCCTAGAAATACAGAAACATCCAGACAATTTGAACAGAGACTTTTTCACAACAGAAACTCTTCTAATGTAAATAGAATATGAAGATTGCTCTCTTGATTGGAGAGCAAGAAAGACCTCCTCTTTCTCCAACATACTTCACCCCTCTCTACAGGCTGTTTCCTGGAGAAGCAGCTCAGTATCAGTATGCTGCTCGCCCTGATGGAAGTGAACGGCAAGGTTCACGAAAAAGTTGGCATTAGTAATGGACAAAAACACAGCAATAACCTACAAACCTTCTGGTATCTTTGAATTATTTTAATTATTTATCTGAAATCAAATTTTTATTATAATTAGAATAAAAAAATGAGATAAATTAAAAAACGGTTTAAATGTAATCTAAAAAGAGTTAGAATTAAATGATTAGTCATTTTTCATAATAATGGTAATATTTATATTTTTTAATGGTTTAATATAAATACCATCATTATTTACCATTATTAGTTCGTTAATTTATTTTTCGAATTTTAAATAAATTTTATTGTTAATTTTTTTATATTATATTTGATGGAAATTTCATTTAGATTGATTTCAATAGAATTTCATAAATTCTATGAATAATGAATTCGAATTATAAATTGATTTTTTATAGATATAGAAAAAATACAAATTACAGTTATTCGAAATAAATAAAGTCATAAGAGACAATTTAATAAAATAAAAGCCAAATTTTTATTCGTCTACCTTTTATTCGAGTATAGAACGAAAACCAATTATTAATAAATTAGAAAAGTCAAAATGAAAATAATAATTACATAAATGAAATTGATTTATAAAAACAAAAAATTGATTGCATCGTCGGCGATTATATTGGCGCATTACTGATTCGCAAAGTGCTTAAAGTAGAATTAACATTGTAAATTAAGTCATGTGTAGGGAATATTCGAATTTCCATAAGCATGGAACCTTGAGCCAAAATACATACCGTTTTTAGAATTTACGTACATGTATATGTATTATATTTTATTATACATCCATGGTTATAAATTATGGCTATTTAAATGTAAACAAGAAATATGTCAGAAAGAATATGTTTTAGTATATCAAAGTCTTGTCGTTGAAAAAAAGAAAAAGTTGAGTCTTGTTCCGAATTTGTTCGTTGAATTATGCGTTCGTAATTTATCCTTCTTGTGGATGCTTGCGAATATTTGCATTATAACGTGATATAATTACGTTCAACAGAAAGTTTATTTTGCAATTGTTGGAAGTTTTCTTCAACTTCTTGATTGAATTATACTTTTAGATCTAGGCTGTGTTCGGAGAGCGCTACTTGTGTTATACTATCCTTGTTTTACGTTTAATGCCGATGAAGATAGAATGACACTAGTAGCACTAATAATAGCGTCTCCCCGAACCCTAGAAATGGTCCTATCAGTAGATAATCATAAAATGATTGCAAAACTATTGTATTCTACTAAACACTACACAATTAATAGCTGAATCATACAATCAGACACAATACTATAATATACTTCACTCTTCTATTTACCTATTATGAGTTTAATTATGGATTTGATATTTTATAGACTTAATGCTCCTGTTTATTCACCACTACTATCTCAATTTGTGACATCAGAAAATAATACATGTAAAAATAAAGAGTTAAATAATACATGCTCGGGGCACGTATTATGGAACTTCCTTCCTTCCTCGTTGATTGGCCTGCGCCCTTTGTTCCAAGATTACCGAGGTGATTTGGCCAATAACGAATTAATGGTCTCCAAAGTGATTAATCTGTATAGAAAAATGCATCGGCCATCTCGAACCGGACAAACGGGAATCTTGAAACAGGATAATGTAATAGGATAATCCAAACAAAAAATGACAAAACGAATCTTCCTGCCTGAAGACCTTGAGTGCCTGCGTCTATAATAGTCTAAACACTTTCGCGTCTCACGGATGCGCGTCTAGACGAAGGAATTGAAAGTTAGAAGATACAAATGCACAGTCAAAGCCGGCCACGCTTTACAAAAAAATAGTTCAGATGATGTAACAACCGAAGCGAGAAACACGTTCAACGTACCCGCTCGGGTAGTTTTCAGAAACTATTATTGAACTTTTGTTTTGAATTAGATTCCAATTGAAATTAAGTATTTCGTTTTCCACAAAACACAATAGAAAATAATCGAATTACAAATCTATTCTGAACAATTTCATAGTACGTACTCAGAAGTGAAAAAATACAATAAAAATTCTTGCAAAATATATTAATATATGGAAATATGTTTCAATATAAAATCGATTACCGATTTGTAAAATATACCATAACTTTCCTTTTATTAATAAACAATTAATAAAATTAATTAATAAGACATATATATATCTAGACTACATTCTAACTAAAATGTGCTCTTCGAGGAAAATTTTCCTTGGAGAAGACGTTTTGGAATAGAAATGATGAAGAGCCAAAAAGAAATCTCAAAAAGGATATGAGGATATCTTTCCTTTTTAATTCCTGTCCCTAAAACTGCAAAATGTTCCTAGAATCCTTATACCAACGACATATATAAATCAAGGCTGCGTTCCGTTTGATACACATGCTGCATTATTTATCCTTGTTATTCACCGCATATTAAATAAAGATAAATGATGCATTATGCGCACCATGCATGAATCGGAACGCAGCTCAAGCATTCCCATGCTTTTCAGTGGTAGAATTGAAGCTGAAAATTGACAGTTGTGGCATTTTAGAATCCGTGGTATTTCACTTAGGAATGTTTATCGTTATTCGATATTTTTTGCTGTTCAATATAAAAATATCGAATAAAAAATTATGAATAAAATATGGATTAGATATTTTTTATTATTCATATTCACTCTCCATTTTTATGAATACTTAGGGACTCCACACAAAAGGAACAAGGAACAGAAAATAAGAATTTCAACTTATCAGAAATTGTGTATTCCACAATACATGATTTCTGATAGATTGAAATTCCCTATCCCTTTTATTGTGCGGAGCCTCTTATAGAGCGGAATTCATAGACGTTGTTTAAGATTCGAGATGGTCTTAAGCTAGTGCATGAACTAAGAGAGCCATATTAATTTTTTAATTGATTAATTGGTTAATTTGTAAAATCCTTTCTTCTAATTGATCCATCAAAAGCATTTGTAGCAAGACTTTGACCACAGCCTTGGCTGCGTTCAGCAGAGCGTTTATTTTGCAACTGTTGGAAGTCTTCGCGCTGATTGGGTTATGCTTTTAAATCAAGAGGAATAGTCCAATCTCAGCAGAGAATCATAAAACGGTTGCAAAAATGTTGTGTTCTGCTGAACGCAGTCATTGCTTGAAATAAAGGCCATTCTACAATAATCGTATCATCAGAAGCATCGTAATTATCGTCGTAATTATCATGCGATTTTAAAATTGAAGCTTCGGATTGACTGATGAAATAAGCTTACGATATGTCTACGATATGACTAATGTAAAATGGTTTTAAGAGACTATTATTTCCGGCCTTATAGGCAGCAATGAATTTAGCAGTAATGAATTAAGGAGTAGGCGTAGAAATCGATCAATCATAGTTGAATATGAGAAAAATAATCAACTATGATTGGTCGATTTCTACGCCTACTCTTTAATGAACTACTGTTACTGCCCATTGTAAATCATGCATTACATTTGTTTGTACTTTTAGATCCAACGAAATATGATTAAATGTAGGAGCGCTCAGTATAAGTAATGTCAAGTTTATAAAAAAAATGATTATTAAATACATTTTTCACCAATTATATTTCTTAGTTTTTGTTTTTATTTTAGATTTTTGAGTTATATATTATAATAATATTTAAGGGCTAATGATTAGTTATATTATTGAAACATAAAAGAAGGAGTTCCATTTATTGTTTATAATATTGATTGGGACTATAAATAAACGGAGCTTTTCCTACATTAAATGATCAAATATCACAGATCTTTGTTCGTAAGTTTTAAAAAAATTGCGAATTTTTTTTAATCTATTCGCTGTGCAATATATTCGATATAATGTCTATTCATTCGGAAATATAGATAGTTTTAAAATATCTTAATATATTCATAGTCAATATTTTTACTCAATATTGACATGTCTAATTTCACTCTATCGCACTGCTCTCATCAAAATAGAAAAAGAAATACCACGGGCTCTAAACGCCACATAAACTGTCAATTTCCGGTTTCAAGCTACGTAGAATGGGTGCACTCAGTACACAGATGTCTATACTAATATGTCTATACTAGATCGCTAATGGCTTACTTCTCAATCCTATAAATTATTCATTATTGGATAGGTGGCTGTTTTGGAACAGTGCTATCTGACACATCTTTTTTAATTTTTTTTACATACGAAATATACATTCTATCGTCTTATTTTCTTGTGCACTATGATCAGTGAATCATAATTATAACAAATGAAAACATTTTGTATAATTGATATTTATGTAGAAATAGATTTTTTAAGTTAGCCTTTCAATATATATTTTTTTTTTATAAAAGGAGATATATTTAAATGTATTAAAAAGGATAGAAATCTATAGACTTAACTAATACTATAATTTAACTTATATGAGTGTTGATCTTAATAATAAATTCTACATCTATTTGGGGACCCAAAACATAATCAAACAGAAATTAATAATAATATGCTAGATTATCTTAATTATATAATCCGAACGTTAAATCAAAATGTATGTATAATATGTATATAAGTATATTATAAAAATAATAACCATTGTATAATTAATATAATCATGAATAATAATATTATTCATGATTGTGTATTATGTATATTGATAACTAAATTATCTATAATGTATAGCGAAAAAAAATAAAATATAATCATTTAACATGCACTTTTCATTTACACTTTTTGACACTTGTATTTATCTTAATGGGATTGTAAAGGTATTAGAGTATAACGATGATGGTTTCTTTTACCAAATTTTACACATTTACATTTTTGTTAAAGCCATTGATTCAAACAATTCAACAAATAATACAATTTGGCTTTTCTTGTACATTCCCATTGGCTTTCTCGATCTCCTTTAATAGTGTGTGAAAAATATCTGCAACAGACTATAGAAAATGCGTTCAATAAAAATTTCGCGATAGACTTCTAGATTGAAAAAGCATCTGTAGATACCTCATTTTGTTTTGCACTGGTTTCTAAAAATGCTGCATTCCAAGAGTTTGCTAAACGTTTTCCTTGATCTGTCGTGATCATACGATCAACATACAGATCTGTTTTATTACCCACTAATACGATCGGAACACTATAAAACCGAAGATGTTATTCAACATCTATAAATGCTACATGAATGAACATCGAATAAATATTGCATTTGAGAATTTAGATACTTACTGGAGTTTTCCAGTAATGTCAAGTAATTTGTCATAAATAATTTGTACAATCTCAAAACTCTTTGCACTGGTTATACTATATACTAGAACATAGCCATGAATATCCATCGAATACTGAGTAGGAAATATACTATATTCATCCTGACCAGCTGTATCTACTAACTTGAGTTCATAATCTTGACTATTTACTCGTGTACTTTTTGTGAATGCTGTAACATGCGAAAGACTTGTAATACTTAAAAAATAAAAAACTTGAAGTAACAGAACTCTTGATATTTAAAATCCAACAACGAGATAAAAGGCTAATAAGAAACTTAATAAAACTTAATAAAACTCCATTATTCGTTTAACATAAGTATAACATGTAATTGTATTCTAGCGTTTTAATTTTTGTACTTTCTACAGTTTGATTTATTATTTCTATCTTTAATTATATTTATGTTAAACAATATAAATGAATAATGGAGTTTTAATAAGTTTTTTGATTATTAGCCTTTTATATATCGTTGGATTTTAATACTTTTAAATTGCATAATGCATTCAATTTTAATAAATTATAGAAGAATATCGTAGAATAAAAGAATACAATAATAGAATAGAATAAAATAATAAAAACTAATAAACGAGAAAAGTGTTTCTTACTATTTTCTATTGTAGGATCATACGAGTCTACAAACTGTCCCTCCACAAATTGTATACTAAGAGATGATTTACCTATTAAATATATATTAAATATATATTTGAGTAAATATATAAATGTATCTTCAGTTATATAATGTTAATCATGTCTTACTGCAAAAAGTTTCAAGTTATATCCCATAGATAATAATAAGTACAGACTGTGATATCCTATAAAGGTTGTAACTATCAGTTTAGAATGAATTAACTAACTTAATTTTTATTACACACATACTCTCTCTCTCTCTCTCTCTCTCTCTCTCTCTCTCTCTCTCTCTCTC